TTTTAACAGAAATGGGGTTTTATTATATGCTGGCCAAGCTGGTCTTGAACTCCTGACTTCAAGTGATCCACCCTCCTCGCCCTCCCAAAGTGCTGGGATTATAAGCATGAGCTACTGCACCAGTCGAAACCATTTTCTTAATAGGTTAACTCTAGTGGTTAAAGAATCTCTAAATAGAATATAATATATAATTACACCAGATACAAAATTTCAGTAGGTCTGATTTTTATTAATAGTTAGAACTGTACACAGTTTTCAAATGTACTTTGAAGATATCAATACTTAGATCTAGTATTTCAAAGGCTTATGCTAAACTTTTACTTTATACACTATGTTGAACAAAGCATATAACCAAAATTGGGTTATTATTCAATAACCAATTGGGTTATTATTCAATAAACCTGAATTTAGAGAACATTTTAAAAACCCAAATAGTGGCCAGGCACGATGGCTCACACCTCTAATCCCAGCACTTTGGGAGGCTGAGGCGGGCGGCTCACCAGAGGTAAGGAGTTCAAGGCCAGCTTGGCCAACACGGTGAAACCCTGTCTCTACTAAAAATACAAAAAATTAGCTGAGTGTGGTGGCAAGCGCCTGTAATCCCAGCTACTTGGGAGGCTGAGGCAGGAAAATTGCATGAACCCGGGAGGCAGAGGTTGCAGTGAGCCAAGATTGCACCACTGCACTCCGGCCTGGGTGACAGAGCGAGACTCTGTCTCAAAAAACAAAACAAAAACCCAGATAGGGAAAGATGATGCCACTTCCACGTCAATGGCAATAATTTGTTAATACTTTCATGTGTCATTTTTTATAACCATGACTTCCTATCTGAAGAACTGTCTATAGAATACTGCTTAACATTGAAACACTTACTTTTTCTGAGTGTTTGAACTGCCGCCAGTAACTATCATACATGCGCTTTGTAGTTCTCTCAGGATAGCAGGTCACTGTCTTAATGTAAACCTTCAAGCTTCTTTCAAGTAATTGATTAACTTCTCCATAATCATAGTCATCATACCTATGAGCAATATAACAATAGCTTTATAATGACAAAATCAAAATATTTAATTTCTAAAGTTATAGACATTTATTGTTTAGTAATTAAATACTAAAAGCTCATTAACTAATTGACTGAGTGCCCATTATGTGCCATGCACCCTTCCAGGCAATAGTGATATATTAGTGAACAAAATAGACAAAAATTCTTGGTCTCATGGAGCTTAAATTTTGTTGAAGAAAAAAGGAAAAACAATTAAAAAGATAAACACATTGTAGTCAGATGGTGATAATCTGACTCCATGGCAGTCAGATCTGCCACGGAGAGGAAATGGAACTTGGTCTGGGAGGAGAGGGGTTGTTATTTTTAAATAGGGTGAGCAGGAAGGCTTCTCTGAAAGGTTGATATTGAACAAATAACCAGATGGTGGTAAAGAAGCAAGTGTTAAGGCCTTGAGGTAGGAGTCAAGTGTTTCAGGGAAGAGGGCGTAATCACCGAGTCCCATGCCGCCAAATATTCAAGTAAGATAATTGGGAACTGACCACTGGAAGTAGCTATATGGAGGTCACTGGCAACCTTGGTGAGAGCAGTTTTGTTGGTTGATAGGGACAAAAGCCTGATACTGTGAACAGATTCAAGAGAGAATGGGAGATGAAAAAACGGTGACAATAAAGATATACAATTTTGTCAGAGAATTGCTTTGCATGAAAACAGAAAAATGAGGCGATAGGCCAGAGGGAAATGAAAGGTGAAACTGAGATTTTCTTTAAAGATGGGAGAAATTAAAAGTGTGTTTCTATGCTAAAAGGAAAGATCCAATAAAGAGAATAAAGCTGATTATGCTGGAGAAAGAAGGGAGTATTGCTAGAACTAGGATCTTTAGAAAATGAGAAATGGGATTTTGTGCATAAGTATATAGGAACATAGTAATAACAGCAGAGACAGCAGAGTAAGTGAGCACAGTTGCAGACAGGTAGGTAAATGTGGTATTGGGAGCTTGTGGAATTTCTCTATTTCAGTTAATTTTTAACCGAAATATAATGCTTAGTTTAAAAAAAAAAAGTATCTTGATGAATTTATGTAAGCTTCATTTCATAGCATCAAACAGATAAATATACCCACTATAACATTTGTTGCCTGTATACAATACATATTTATTGCATTTAAATTGAGCTCCACTATGTTTATTTTTCTTAAGTAGGTAGACATGATGTATATGTGTTTTAAAATGTATTGACTCTTTGATAACATTGTCTAGTACGGTAAATGGACAAATAGCTTGGTTATTACAAACAACCATAATCTTTTACATGGAATATTGTGGTGTTAGTCGATTTATCAGTAAATTTTGGAGTTCTTTAGCTAAAATTATAAAAAATACTTCACTTAACACATTGAATTCGAATTCTCATAAAGTCTTTCTGATCTATGGTCAAGTTGAATATATTTCTAAGGGCAATTCTTTTCTGTCTGCTAATCTATCTCCATAAAAGCCTCAAAATCGGCCGGGCGCGGTGGCTCAAGCCTGTAATCCCAGCACTTTGGGAGGCCGAGGCGGGTGGATCACGAGGTCAAGAGATCGAGACCATCCTGGTCAACATGGTGAAACCCCGTCTCTACTA